CTGGGGGTCTCCTACAGAGACCCCGGGGTGGTGGTGGTCTGGGACAAACTCAAACCCCTCCCGTCAGCCGGGTCTTGGCGCGTCTCCATCTAAGCAAGACGAGACACGTCCGAGCGGCAAAACGCTTAAACCAGAAGTCTAGACTCAGTAACAGACTGTTGTATTATGGATGTTACAAAAACAGAAATGAATCCATCTTCAATTGACCTTACATATGTGTCCTTGTTTTCTGTTCAAATATAATGACTTAGAGGTTTCAATTTTTTTTTATTGTGAAAAGGAGAAAAGGAAAGAGAGTCTAATTGTGAAAGGCATCTAAAAATTCTGAGATTTACCCTTGTATTTTTTTTTTGGGGGGGGATGATTTTTACTTTTCTTTCTCTTTGCACGTTTGGGGAGCTCTACCTAGTTAATACCGGAGCTGCGGTGGCTCAAGTGGTTGAGACGCTGAACTGCAGGCTGTGGAAGGTCAGTAGTTCTGCAGTTCAAGACCCGGGTGCCGCATAACGGAGTGAGCTCCCGTCTCTAGTTCCAGCTCCTGCCAACCTAGCAGTTCGAAAGCAAGAAATTGCAAGTAGATAAATAGGTACCACTTCGGTGGGAAGGTAACAGCGTTCCGTGCACCTTGGTGTTTAGTCATGCCGGCCACATGACAACGGAAACATCTTCGGACAGCGCTGGCTCTTCGGCTTTGAAACGGAGATGAGCACCGCAACCCTAGAGTCGGATTCGACTGGCTTTCGAGCAAGGGAACCTCTACCTTCACCTTTTTACCTAGTTAATGCAGGGGAACAACAGGAAAATGAGCTGTACTAGGTTCCATCACAGTGATGTATGTTGGACTATAAGCATGCATTCTGCCACAGTCACCTTTCTTGGAGGGGAACAGGAGATCATTATGAGGGTAGTGGAAAATTAGTATACCTAATTCTCAACAGAGCCCCATACTCAAATACAGAGGCTGGACCCATGGGCACATGCCTGCCTACAGGAGCACCAATGGAGTAGGAGTGCTGAGAACAGCAACTCCGCACACTTGTTCCTGCTGCCCTCTCTGCTGTCACTGCTCCACCTTAGACTCTCCCTTTCTCTGCTGCATTGCAACTCCAGCAGAGCACAGCTGAGTAAGGAAAAAAAGCACTTTAAAAGCTTTAAAGGGAGCAGTGGTGGAAAACAGCACAAGGCAGTTTGAAAGTAGAGTTTTACTTTGCTCCTGTTCCTGAAGTGGTTATAGGTGGAATGTCCAAAGGGATGCTCCACCTGCACCCACTCCGCAGTTTCCCCCTGAAACCTGTAAAAATCAGGATATCTAGGTCCTGCGTTTCCCCTTTAATCTGCAGGAAATGAGAATCTAGACAAGTCATGTAATGGGGGGGGGGAATCCTGTGTGGAAGCAGCTAGAACAATCTGAGCTCTAAATACTCAGGATCTGGGACACTGAAATCAAAAGATCCACAATCATCTGGTATGTGTGCTTGGGTCTGTACAGCATCTATTCTTCAAATATGGGGATCAGAAGCTTTGCATTTGGTGGGTGTGTGAAGGAGGTGGTAGTTTTCTTCTCTGTTTCATCTGTGATACAAATTGTAGTTTTCGGTCAGAAAACACCACTGTTTTTTCATAGCTCCAGTAAAGAAGACAGCAAGTAAATTCAAGCAACCAAACTTGCAAATAAACTGGTTCTCATCCTGCATCATACTGTGAAAGAATGACTGTGGTATGGGAAAAAATATTCACAGTGTATTAGAAACCCTGACCTGTCACACTGCCTGCACTGCAGAATAAGCTCTTCTTCTCTGTAACTGCAGCAGCAGACTGGACAGGTAGATAAACTTGCACAAGGAGCACACTGTGTGTAATTATTCTGCCATTCACATCTTAGGCCAGGAGAAGTCGCTCCGCAGTGTCTGCACCAAACACACCTATAAAAACACAAAAACAGGAGTGGCTCTCTCAAACTGAACTCACAAAATACATCTGCTTAATTCTCTTAAAGCATTATAGGCAGAATGTACAAGTCCTGGAATAATAATTCCCACCTCAATTGTTTAGGGCTGAAATCAAGACACACAAACACATACACCCCTTGGACAATTCTGCACCCTACACTACGTTAACTGAAAACAACAGGCAACACCAAAGTTAGCAGTGAACAGGATAAAGAATGAAGCCACACATACCATTTGCATTTCCACCCTCCTTTGGGAACTGTCTGCAGTGGTGGATCTAGGCAGTACGTGTGATAACTGATATCACAATCATCACAAAGAAGCAGCCGTCCTGGGTCAGTCGCCTTCCCGCAGGCTTCACATACGGTGCACTCCAGGCACCTCCAACCTTTGTGGAGCACCACTTTTGTAATCTGCATAGAGGAAGACAATCTACAAATCACTCTCAGAAGCCCCACAGAAATCACAGTTGTTTTATAGTCTTTTATTACTATCAATTTACTTCCGTCCTTCTGGGAAAGTATGCTGTGTGTGCTAATATCTGCAGCCCTCCCCACCCTGGGCGAGAAGTGCTCTACACTACTGAAAAATTAAAAATCCTTTTGCAGATGTATGCTCAGTGGTAACAAGATACGCAAGAATTTGGTTGAAGCATCTGTTTTCAGAAAACTCCTCTGCTCAGATTTAAAAGGTGGCCATTCTCAAATGCTGAAAATCCAGATATAAATGTACTGAAATTGAAAAACAACATTTGAACATAGAGCATTTTGGATTTTTTTTTTTACTACAATATTTAGATGGAAGTATTAGAGCAGTTTTACTTCCCTATTTTTTCTAGAGTATAGCTGTAACCCAGCAATATACATAAACAAGATTATCTATGTACTGTTCAAAGAAAACTGCCCCATCTACTCCATCATCTTGTTTTTCCCCATAGCCAGACATCCCTAGACAGCAGGACACAAAGACCAAAAGCTGATCCTGTTGTTGTCCCCAAGCCAACTCAAATTACACAACTTCTCAACATGGAGGCTGAAATGTTAGACACCACGGCTAGTAGCTGTCAGTTGACGGACCTTTCTCTTTGGATTTTTAAAGCAACCACTGGCCATTGCTATATCTAGTGGCTTTTGCTCCATTCAGACCTTACAAACAAACAGGCCTGTTTGTGATGGAGAGACACAAAATTTTAACTGTTCCCTGTTCGAACAATTAAGGCTACTTGGTTTTGGAAGCTTTCAATCTGAAATTAGATTGCCAGAATAAACTGGAGTTTGATGCTTCCTCACAAACTGGGATTTGAAGCAAGAATTAAGCAGTAGATTCTAAAAAACACCCAAAACCCAGAGCAGGACAGGTTTCCACATGATCACCCCTGAGCCTTTGGGGTAGGGCGGGATACAAATCTAAGGATAAATAAATAAATAAATAAATAAAATAATGTTGAATCAGCATTTCATCCATGGGTGCAATCCAATGAACAATAGTATGGTGCAAGACTCAGGAAATAAATGGAGACTTCCTTGAAAGCAATATTCTAATTTCCTTCCTAAACAGGATATGAAGTATGTTTTGAACGTAAGAGTTTTCCACACTCCCCTTCAAAGCATGCTTACAACAAGTCCTCTGTTGTGGAATAATTAACCCACAGTATATTCCAAATAAGTACAGGGATTAAAATAGTCTCCTCACCATTGTGAACACTCCTGAAAAAAAATCACTCTATCACTTGAATCATTATCATTGTGTGTACAGAAGATAACAAGTTTATGGGGGAGGCGGGCAAGTAGTCCATGTTTTCTGATCACACCCTATTTTATATTACAGCTTGAAACAAAATATTTTGTACTGGTTATCTTGGAAAAAAGTGCTATCAAAATAACATTATTCTGAAAACACAGAGCCATTTTCTAAAGCTTATCTAGACTTTAACTTAAATGATGTGGCACATGAAATAAAACCCACATTTTAAATAACAGCACTTATGAAATGAAAAAGGCACTTTATAGTTTATATGTGGCAGCAAATAGCTTATTATCTGTGCATAAGTCATCTTATAACTACCCAAATTTAATTTTCGAACATTCTCTCCTAGCCTAACAAATGTAAAACATTAATTAACTACTCCAGTTGCTGTCAATTCTGACAGCCAACAGACAAACTGAATTAATTGAACCTTATTGCTTTCGTAAATGCAGATGCAGTTTAATTTTTTTCAAGAAAATATCCTGCTATAGGTTTTAAGCTTATATTTTAATACTTTCTTTTAATGAACTGATGGATAATTTCTATTTATGGCTGCAAAATTACAGAAAGGTTAACTTCACTTGCAGCTATGAAATGTCATTTAATTAAAGCGTTCTGCAAGCTGCATACAAATAATGGTTATACTTACAGAGGAGTATTTGACAAGCTAACAACACTGCTAATAATGTCAAAACTGGAATCATTGTGGCATATTCAAGTAGAGTAAGTCAGCAATCATTTCAGAGAACTCACCTTAATACTGACACAGTAGGGATGATAACACTGACCACACTGGGAGCAGGCAAGCAATCGGCCTTCCGCACCTTGGCCAAAGCTCCCACAAACGACACACATATCCTAGAATGTAAAAAAGATATTTTCAGTTAATAACCAGTACTAAAGATACAAACCCTGACCTGCTAGCCTGATCTTGTCAAATCTCAGAAGCTAAACAGGGACAACCCTGGCCAGTATTTAAATAAGAATACCAGGGTTGTGATGGGAATATCAGGCAGGCAATGGCAAACCACCTCTGAATGTCTTTTGCCTTGAAAATTCTACAGGGTTGCCATAAGTTAGCTGTGGAAGGAGGGAGGGAGGGGGAGAGAGAGAGAGAGAATGATTGATTTGGGGGCTGCTTAAGAGGTATATTTAAATATACAGACTTCCAGTCCTTTCTGAAGTGCAATTCAGCACATCTTTCTTTTCTATTAAACCTTGGGACATCGTAGGAGGCTTCTAGTGGTTCAGTAAAATGCTTATCAAAACCACCTTGAGCTTTTTTGTAAAGGATGTACTATAGAACTCTTAAAACAATTACAATGTATACAACATAAGACATTTACAACTTTCCAGTAAAAAAATTAATTCATGTATTAACAGCACGATCCGAAGTCAAATTATATTCTTCCAAGTCCATTTGGAAGCCAATGGGCTTAGATGGGTGTGACTCTGCTTAGGATGGCGTGGTATATTTATCGGTTATGTATCTGGATTTACACCAAAGTGCACTAGATGCAGACTCCCATCTATGGATGAATATACAGATACACATCCAGATGTGTATCCCATTAAAAGCAAAGCAGCATGGATACTCTGATGCTGAATTTGATATGCATCTCATTTAAGTCATGGTACTTGATGCAGTAAATGTTGGTATGCAGACAACTCATTTGATGGGAGTGTCTGTCTTGCTGCACTGTGGTTTTGTTGCCCACCAGTGCCATGGGGCAAGGCCAGGAGGAACTCTACAGTTGGTTCAGCAAAAGGCAGGTGAACACTGTTTACCCGCCCCTCCCTCTTCAATCACAGAAAAGATGAAAACTCTGTATAACATTCTTTAACGGTGAGCTCTGCTCTGTAAGACTTTATAAGCAGCCATGAGTACATCTGACTTATGTCCTGAAATGGCCACTGTAATGGAAAGAGTTCTCAGTGACTCAACCCCAGGAGGAGCTCAGGAGTCACAACCTGCAGTGCTCATGCTCCCTGTACAAGGGCAGTCCACAAATGGCACATCATGCATCTCCCAGTTTAAAGCAAACAAAAACAAGCTAGAAAATAAAGATTAATAGATATTGCAACCTGCTGCAAAGTAAACTTGTCACTGCTGGAAAATAGTACAACAGTATTGTGCATTGAATTTTCTTCCTCGTCTTTGCTAGACAAAGTATCCATATCCATGACCTACACAAAAAACAAAATATGTAGGATTGTTTTAGAAGGCTACAGACATGTATTAGAAAACAACAAAGCATATTAGTTACGTGCAACTTAATGATATACATTAAGCTTGATGAGAAGCAGACCGCTTCTGACCCCCGGCAAGTAGCAATTTCTTCTAGGTTTGCTGCAAATGGCTTATTTGCTGCAAATGGCTTTGTATGCAAGTTCAACAATGAGAATCCGGATGGCTGCCAATGTGGAGATACTGGGTATATGAACTCCAGCAAGTTTAAATAGAAAAAGAAATGTTACATGGGTGTGGGGTGATACATGTTGGGATAGAGAATTCTAACACTGCATATGTGCTAGTGGTGGCTTGGCTGAGTGGGACTGAGATTTGGGGAGGGATCTTGGGGTTGTAGTGGAGGGCTCTGTGTGGGAGTTGACCTGGTATGCAGCAGCAGCAGTGATGAGGGCAGGCTCCACGCTAGGAATTATTAGGAATGACTGGACCAGTCATGCACACACGCTCAGCCTAACCTGCCTCACAGGGTTGTTGGGAGGATAAAATGGAGGAGGAAGAGAATGGTATAAGCCGCTCTGGGCTTCCACTGGGGAGAAAGACGCAGTATAAATGAAGAAAATACATTTGAAATATGAGTGTATAAATTGATTATAAGTTTGCTGTATTGGAAGAAAAAACTCCAGCCCCTTTCTCATTAATTTAACCCACAATTTAAATAGTGATTTTAAACCATCTTCCCTTCTTACTAGCAGTCTCTGAAGAGGAATCAGAGAAATTGGGGACAGCAAAATATTCTGTACATGTAGAACGTTCCCTCATCACTATAGCCAGTTACAAGCCTCAAAGCAGAGCTGAGGGACTGCTCAAATTACATTCTAGAAAGCCTATGCTAGTCAGAATATGTAATGCCGTGGTATATCCATGTAAGTCAGCTCTTATAACTCTTCTCATTACCAATTTTGCTTGATCAGGCCAATTTAGATGACAGATTACAGGCACGTCATGGATTCTTACCCCTGGAGTAAGAAGACACCCAATGCCGTTCTTCAGTTTTGACCTTCCTCTTCCACCTCTTCCAGAAAGGCCTGCACCACGTGGTCTCCGCTTTCCAGGGAACCCTGATCCACGACCCTATTTAATGCAAAGTCAGAGACTTAGAAGAACCAAAACAAAAAACAAAACAAATCCTCCCACACACAACATCTTCAGAGAACTCTTTAAGAAAGAGAAATGATTCTTATGAAGTAGGCCAAGTGCGATGACTAGCAATAACTTAAACCTCCAAACCATTTACTACAGCAGGCTCACAAAAGTAGGTAGAACTTGTTTTTGGTGGTGCAATGAGGGTGGTGCTTGGGAGAATCTGTCAATTATCCTTATTTATTAATTATATTTTAGGGTTGCCAATCCCCAATTTTGAGCCCCTCACCCCACTTTAGGGCTATCAGAAAATGTGTGGGGGGAATGGCCACTGGGTGCTCCATTATACCCTATGGAGACTATAATGGAGAATTGATCTGTGGGTATCTGGGGCTCTGGGGGGGGGCTGTTTTTTTGAGGTAGAGGCACACATTTTCAGCATAGCTGCTGGTGCCTCTCCTCACTGCCCCCTCCAAATTTCAAAAAGATTGGACCAGGGGATCCAATTCTATGAGCCCCAAAAGAAGGTGCCCCCATCCTCCATTATTTCCAATGGAGGGAAGATATTTAAAAGCAACTATGTCCCTTTAAATGCAATGGCCAGATCACACAGAATTCTCTCTGGAGTTCAATCGCACTTCTTCCCTCCCCTCTCCCTGAGCCTCCTGATAAGTCCCCCTTCAGCTTGTCAGCCTCACCTGGCAACACTATTATATTTATACCTTGCCCTGTCCTATGGACTCAGGATAGATTTCAACCAATTTCATAAAAATTATACCTATCCCTCATCCCACTGTCTAGTTTAAGTAATATATATTGATTACTTGAGGGGAAAAAATCACTTGCTTTACACTCACTAACAATAATTTCAAAATATGTTCATTGTTCAAGTTCTGTTCATCTCACACACACATTTCAGTACTCAAACCACAATAAAAAAGACACCAGATAGTATCTCCTCAACAGCCTGCAATGAAAGGAAAGACTGCCATAAACTCTACACTGGAACATCAACACCCCCCCCCACTCAACTTAGCTACATGTATTTTGACATATATACTTATAAAGTACCAGCGTGAAATGATTGTTAACATTATCATCTTAAATTATAACATACTGACAGAGAAGTTGCATGTTTTCATAAAACTAATTGTGTTTATACACACACACACAAACCAGTTTGTGACACCACTCTATTAAGGACCATACAAGTTTCATACAAGGAATAATATGGGAATTTGTAAAAGGAAATTATTGATGATCAGGCTCAAGTTATTCATGCAAAAAGGTCTTTCTACCTTTTACTGATTTTAGAATAGACAGAAGGCTAACATCTTCTAAAAGTGTAAACTACTATTTAGATAAGAAATTACTGTGAAAGATATCCGGTATTACCATATATATTATGACTCATAATACTAAGTGGTAACAGAACAAGCACTCTGCATGTTATGTGTTTTTAAAAATGTATTAGACTACTTTGCACACTTGCTAGCAGCATTGTACAAAAGGATGTGAGATAAGTAAATCAAATAAAACACATCAACACAACTATCTTTTTAAACAAGACAAATAATAAAAAGCAGCAGCACAAAGCTAGTAAGTTCTACTAATGAGAAGCATGCAACAACTTTTACTTATATCATTAGTATACATTATTCTTTCAGATAGCATAAGATAACAAAATTAGTAACATTAGCATGTAATAGTACAATTATGTAGACACCAAAATCAACTCAAACATAAAAAGAACCTACATTTAGATCTCCAATATCAGATTCTTTTACTTTTTTCAGCGCTACAAATTAAATTTGCTTTTTAAAATGTATGTAAATGGCATAACTATTACTGCATGTCAAAAGAAGTCATAATGGTTATCTTCATACAGATGTTTTGCTTTTGTGTGTGTATGTCTCATGGAAGAATTATTCAGTGTAAACTCCAAAACTCATGATAGTCTGTAAAATTTTGGGGCACCTTATTCTCAAAGCTCCACCTACACCTTTAGGCCCCATCCAAAACACAATGTTGACAGAGACTATAGCATGCACCCCAGTCACTGTGTACAGGATACACAACAAGTTAAGCTTCTAAAGGTATTAGGACTTGATAGCTCTTTAGGGCCGAAAGGGAGGTCAAACACAACACACAACTGAATGAGCAACTCACCAGATGTGCGGTTTTATATATTCATGATTTTGGCAAAAGCATATCTTCCTATGTGTTTGGAGGGCGGGTATGTATTAAAAACAAATGTGAATGCGCTAGATGTTTAAAATCCAAATTAAAAAAGGTAACATGCTAATGAAGCTGGGCTTCAGGAGAGTTTTCACCAATATCTTTTTAGCAGAGAGATAACAATGGTAACAAGAAGATAAATACAGATTAATTACCACTTTGATGCTCCACATGGCACTGCCAGATAGCAGTCTGGATTTAAAAGTTTCCCGACCTTCTGAAATGTCTGGGGACCAGGAAGGTGGGCTCACCGTATTATGGGTACTCCAAGCCCCCTAGATATGTCAGGTGAGAAAATAGATGTATAAAACTCAGCCAAATTAAATAAAAATAAACTAAAGGCTGCAAATAAAAGTTCAGAATGCAAAGCACATGCAGGCACACAGATATACACGCACTGCTTAACAAGCAAATGGACACGGGGAGAAGTTTCAACCTGACATTCACATTTGCAGATGATTACTTCAGTGTACATAAAAAGATGATAAAATAAATATAAAGAACAAGCACTGTCAGAAAATAAAAGCCTACTGGCATGAATAAAAGATGACGTATGATTATAACAAAGGCTGCATCCAAACAGAGATGGGAAAAGCCACCTCCATCATGGAAATAGCAGCAAGAGGAAGATCAGGTAGGGGAGCCATCAGCAACAGCGTGACATGACATGATGCGGCTTCTGGGAAAACTCACAAGGGATGCCAGTCCTCTCTAGGAATCACTGAAAACTCTATGATTTTCCCGTTAGTGATGTTACGCTGTCACTTTGTTTTTTTCTTTCTCCCACTAGCCATTGGCGTGCCAGACAGCACATGGCAACCCTGATTAGTATTGGGCAGTAACAAAATGTTTGTGTGCAGACGATTAGTATCTTTGTAGAATCTTACAGATAGTCTACCAAGGAGATTCTCAAAGGAAATAAAACAGCTATGTTAGGTGATACTTTGGCTTTTGATTTAGGCCCATGAAAGCACAGTTCACAGAAAATGCTTACTCTCTTAAAAAACAAACTTCTAGCACTAGTATTCATTCCAAAACAAACCAGTTTCCTCTGAATTGCTTGGCTACAGTTAATTAAAAAGGGAACACACATAATCAACGAAAGACAAGAGGTCTAACGAGATCAGAAGCTTCTGAATCTTTACAATTATGTATGCATACTATTTCAAGTGGAAACGAAATCACCACCAGGTTATATTTCTGTTTTTATCATAAAGCATGTTTTAAAAAAATAGCTACCACAGGTTGAAGCCCCCCATGTACATATTTTAAAAAGAATGCTACACCCTCATTTTGAAGACTACATTGTTGCAAACCAGATAAGAATAAATGAAATTGTTACCACTGCTCACCTTCTAAATGAAACAACCCTGATCCTGTCTCACATAATTTTATTGCACTCTTTTCTAATTTTGTAATCCAACCTTATTGCATTGTTAATTGGATGTCTTACTGTTGCATTGTTTTTATATTTTGTAATCCACCTTGAGTCTCAGCAAGAAAGGGTGACTGTATATAAAATAATATGCAAGACATCTAATTTAGTTTGTTGGTTAATTTCCTCAGGACTATCTGGACAGGATTAAATGGGGTAGATCCAGCCAAATTTTCATTCATGCAGTCTTATCTAATTCCCTTCCTTATTACAGCCCCCATCACAAACAGCTATTGTCCATGCAGGTCCAACAACCTCCATTTTTCAACTGCGGAAAAGCTGTCTGGATCCAACCCAAAGATGACAAGTATCACTGAAAAAATAATTACAGTTTTAAATTCTGCTATTAATCTCGAGGATCTTCAACATTTACTTTTTAAAGCAGACTGAACTGATTACATTTCAAAGCATAACATGCTTGTTTAATATGTAAATGGAAAGAAAAGTTCCACCAGTACTGTCTCCAGAAGTGCTTGTGAGAATCTTGGTCCTGATGGCCCATCCTTACCTTGTTGCTTCCTACCTGAGCCCTGGGGGGTGGGGACTGAAGATGCAGCCATTCAGTGGCCCCAAACCAGCCTGGCAGTGAACCTCCTAGCACAGGGAACCTCTGTGGTGGCTGGCTAGACTGAGAATGTATGAGTGGCAGAAGCAGGGGCAGATGAACCAGCCAGCTGGCATTTGGGAATGGGACTAGCCTCAGTGGTGCACATTGGCACCCAGTACTGGGGCTGGCTGGCAGGCCCTGGTGCAGGAATGAGGGAAGGCACCAAAACAGACAGGTGGTAACTGGCCCAGTGGAGTAGGGCAAAGGAATAGAGACAGTGACCTTCAGGAAGAGGACAAGAAAAGGGGGTGGGGGAAAGAGCTAAGGGTGCAGCCAAAACAAGTCTAGCAATAAAAGAGGCTCGGGAGACCAGGAATTAGTTGAGACCTGACACGGAAACAGGGGTCTGGGCCTAGAGGCGGCAGCTCCTCTCCTGTCTTGACTGGCAGAGATGATTATGAAAGAGCTGCAAAACTCTGAGCAGAGGAAAAGGAAGAAGACCAAGGTGGAGAATCCAAGGAAGGGGGAAGTACTGTTGAGACAGGTCAATCCAAGTGCTGTCAGTCATGAAATGAGAGCTTGTAAACTACTCCCAACATTTAGCAGTGGAGGGTTAGTGTGACGTGCTCCTTCCCCTGGGACCCCCCCCCCTCAACTTGTAAATCAGTTTCACATAATGCTGTTACCAGTAGGTTCTATAGAAATTCTCAAGTTCTGTGAATGGAAGACTCCTTCCACAAGTGAAAGAGCACAACCCAACACTTGATTTCAAGAATGGCCTGTTTTTAAAGGGGTTATCCAAAATGAGCTTACAACAGAGGCTAACCAGATATTTCCCCTCCCCTTCAATAATTTCTCTTCCATGGAGCAGCGGCAAGGGATTGAAGGGAGAATTCATGTTTAAGCATTGTTGAGTCGCACAGTCGAGTCCGACTCTTCGTGATCCCATGGACCAGATCACGCCAGGCCTTCCTGTCTTCCGCCGTCCTCTGAAGTTGGCTCAATTTCATGTTCGTTGCATCTATGACACTGTCTAACCATCCCGTCTTCTTTGACCTTCAATCTTCCCCAGCATCAGGGTCTTCTCCAGGGAGTGCTCCCTTCTCATTTGGTGGCCAAAGTATTTGAGCTTCAGTTTCATTATCTGGCCTTCCAGGGAACAGTCAGGGTTGATTTCTTTTAGGATTGACTGATTTGATCTTCTTGCAGTCCAAGGGACTCTCAAGAGTCTTCTCCAGCACCATAGTTCAAAAGAATCTATTCTTTGGCGCTCGGCCTTCCTTATAGTCCAACTCTCGCAGCCATACATGACTACTGAGAATACCATTGCTTTGACCATGCGGACTTTTGTGGCAGGGTGATGTCTCTACTTTTTATCATGCTGTTTAGGTTTGCCATTGCTTTCCTCCCAAGGAGCAGGCGTCTTTTAATCTCATGGCTGCTGTCACAGTCTGCGGTGATCTGGGATCCCAGGAACGTGAAGTCTGTCACTACTTCCACAACTTCCCCTTCTATTTGCCAAGGAGTGATGGGGCCGGATGCCATGATCCTAGTTTTTTTTTATGTTGAGCTACAAGCCCACTTTTGCACTCTCCTCTTTTACCCTGAGCAAGAGGCTCTTTAGGTCCTCTTCCCTTTCTGCCATTAGAGTGGTATCGTCTGCATATCTGAGGTTGTTGATCTTTTCCCCAGCAATCTTAATTCCCGCTTGTGATTCATCCAGGCCAGCATTTCGCATGATGTACTCTGCATACATATTAAATAAGCAAGGTGACAATATACTACCTTGTACTCCTTTTCCTATGCTAAACCAATCAGTTGTTCCATATCCGGTTCTAACTGTTGCTTCTTGACCCTTATACAGGTTTCTCAAGAGACATGTGAGGTGGTCTGGTACTCTTTAAGGACCTGCTATAGTTTGTTGTGATCCACACAGTCAAAGGCTTTAGCATAGTCAATGAAGCAGAAGTAGATGTTTTTCTGGTACTCTCTTGCTTTCTCCATAATCCAGGGAATGTTGGCAATTTGATCTCTAGTTCCTCTACCTCTTCGAAACCCAGCTTGTACTTCTGGCAGTTCTCTATCCACGTACTGTTTAAGCATACTGAAGTTTATTTCAATAGTGCCCATAATCTTGAAAACTGAATAATAGAGATAATTTCTAGGTATGCAAGCTTCATCTACTCTATACTCAAGTTTGTCTTATTTTGCTTTCAAACTTGCAAAAGAAAATTTACTTACATATGTAACTGTTGTTTTTACAGATGATACTTCCTACAGATTTACACTGAGAAGATTCTCAGTCTCCCAAGAGAGACACTAGGGAATTAATGTACTGTGCAATCCAGAATTTACTCAAATTAGCATCATCTTGCCTCAAAGACATCAGTGCATTTTTTTTAAAAAATACACATTATTTTCACAAAATGATCCAGAGCATTCTGACAAAATACGCACCTGTATCTCAAACGTATATACATTTTTTTTGGGGGGGGGGTTCTTCTGCAGTATGAGCCAATGCAAAATCAGCATCACAAAACCTGACTGTGTGTTCCTCATGAACATTTGGTGGAAGAAGTCTGTCTGTCCCTACTTGGCATTTTGAAACTCACACAACATGATGATTAAATGCCTCACTTCCCAATAATGCAAGCCTTTGCCAATCGCCATGTCAATTCACTCTTGTGCTGTACTATTAGAACATTTTTCTGAAGCACTGCCCAGTTCTACATGCACAGGGGACATCTTTGTATGCACAGCAATGCTCCCTCTAAGATGTGGAGTCTTGTGAGCAAAAATTCTACTTTGTGAGCTACTGGCATTAAAGTTGTGAGCGAGCGATTTAGCTACTGCATAAATTAGTTCGCTCTGGAGCCATCCTTCCTGAGCTAAGACAAAAATGTGTGAGCTGGAGGCTAAAACACTGTGAGCTAGCTCACACTAACTCAGTTTAGAGGGAACAGTGATGCACAGTATACTTCAAAATATTTCAAAATATAAAGATGTATTTAGCCATATATGGAGAGCATTGCTAAGAGATGGCAGAAAGAAAATATTACTCCAGTAGAACTCACAGGAATCTACAATGACGTATTCTACTCTATATGAAGCCCTACTACAGAAATTTTGCTAATTTTATATTTAACAACTCAGGTGCTTTGAAGAACAGCAAGAGAGAGGAAGAACAAGAGGTATGGGACAGGTGAGCTGAAAGTTACTGATGTAGCCCCACTATAGCACTAGAGTGAACAATGTAATACTAGAGAGGAGTGTGTTAACTGTTCTGTTGTACGGAAGACTTGGGGTGGAGATGGGTGGGATATATTTTATGCCATCAAGAATCCTAAAGCTCTTAGGGGCTTGAGCAGGCCAATTTCCCTTCCTCACTCTTCTTCTTTTCCCACCTTTCACCTGACACACAACTGCTCTCAGCATTTCATGACTTCTGAAGCGCAATCATCATATGCAGTGTATATTTGCTTGTTCTGGGGAGACTGCTTCTTTTTAATTTACCTAATAACATTTTTGGCATATTTAGGACTCCCATATGCAGAAACCCTACCTTGTCTATTAAATGGAACAAGAGGAGATCCATAAGAAACTCATGGGGAAATTCCCCCACTGACCACTGCTTAGTCCTCTGACTTCTGACAACCCCAGTCACCTCTCTGTACCCTTTCCTTTCACTGCCACCTTGCTGCTCTGCCTATCTACCCCCTCCCACCCTTAGCACTCCACTCACCCCCACCCTTGCTGCTCTGCCTACCTCCTTCTCACTACTGTCTCTGCAGCTGTCACAGGGGCTGCCGCAGCTCCCAGCCATTCCGCTTCCCACATTGCCTCCAGGCCCATTGTGGCTCTGGCCTCAGCTGGGCCTGCTGCAGCTCCTCCCCCAATCACCTCAGCTGTTACTGGGGGCACTGTGGTTCCGAGCTGCCATCCCACAACATCACCTCTGCATCTCCGACCCCCAATCAAGGCAGCCATGGCTCCCAATTCCAACCACCTCTACTGGGCCTGGCACACC